GTTTTGAATCTAAACAGGAAGGCTTTTGAGCTGTGTGTTCTGTTTGAGATCTGCACAAACCTTCTCTCTATATCTCTCTCTTTGTCTTTCTTTCTTAAAATCTGATTTCTTTGGTTATTGTTGAAGTGGGACACAAATTATTAAAAAACAAAACAATCCACCCAACAACTAGAAACTTTGTTTTCATAGCAGCAACACAGGGCTTACATTTAGTTAGAATAACATTCTTTTGAAATTCAATTTCCCTTGTTCCACAGTGCTATGCTAGGAGGGGGGAAAAAAAAAGTAGAGTTATCTGAACAGTTCCCCGGTGTTCTGAACTTAGGCTAGAAGAGAACGCGTTTTGAAATCCTGGCCTGCGCGTTTGCCTCCCAAGTCTTTTGCTCTACCTTCAATCGTTCTTCCATCAAAAGCAGAGGAGCAAGAGGCTGCATTATCAGTTTTGTGACTGGCTCTGAACAAAGGAATCGTGCTTTTTCTCCATGTTGTCAGCTCACAGATGTCAATCAGAAAATTGATTCCAGGCATGTTTGGGATTCCGACTAGTTTGTGTGCATAATGAATTCCAAGTCAGTATTTTCAAAGGGATGAAATAGAGGTTGCGGGGACAAATGGGAGCAGGAATGACTCACTGAGACTTGGGAGGCCACCCACTGTGATGTTGGGGAGGCCACACACTGAGACCTGGGGGAATAGGCCACACACTGTGATCTTAGGGAGGCCACAAATTGAGATATGAGGGAGAAGGCCACATGCTGAGATTTGCGGGAGAAGGCCACATGCTGAGATCTGGGGGAGGAGGCCACACACTGAGATCTGCGGGAGGAGGCCACACACTGAGATCTGGGGGAGGAGGCCACACACTGAGATCTGGGGGAGGAGGCCATGTGCTGAGATGTGGGGGAGGAGGCCACACACTGAGATCTGGGGGAGGAGGCCACACACTGAGATACAGGGGAGGAGGCCATGTGCTGAGATGTGGGGGAGGAGGCCACACGCTGAGATACAGGGGAGGAGGCCATGTGCTGAGATGTGGGGGAGGAGGCCACACACTGAGATCTGAAGGAGGAGGCCACACACTGAGATCTGGGGGAGGAGGCCACACACTGAGATCTGGGGGAGGAGGCTACATGCTGAGATCTGGGGGAGAAAGCCACACACTAAGATTGTGGGGAGGCCACACACTAAGACTGGGGGGAGGCCACAAGCTGAGATCTGGGGGAGAAGACCATACACTCTGACCTTGGGGAGGAGGCCACACATTGAGACCTTGGAGAGACACCCACTGAGATACTGAAATACTTATATTTTCCCTGGAGCTCCAGCATTTATCTGTAATGTGAGGTTCTGTGGTTCTGTTTCTACTGATTTACCCTATGGAAACACATACTCTTGTTTTGGCATAAGAATAAGGCTATCTTTAAACCACAACAGTGTAACTGCAGCGAAATAGGAGACAACTTGAGTGTCTATTGCAAGGAGAATGGTTAAATACATCATGATACATTTCTGTAATGGGAAACTATAAAGTGTTCGAAATGAAGGAGGCTGATGCTGTGGGTGATTCTACAAACATGATGTTGAGCAAAAGAAGCCAGATTCTTTTGTTAAAAAATCATTTGTTGACGCTTTACTCCCCAATGTGATGGTATTTGGAGATGGAATCTTTAGGACATAATTAGGTTTAGATGAGGTCCTGAGGGCGGGATGCTCAGGATGGTATTAGTGCCTTTAAAAGAGACAGAAGAGAGCTTGCTCTGTCTTTTCTTCTCCACATGAGGACATAGCAAGAAGGCAGCCATCTACAAGCTAGGATATGTGCCTCACCAGAACCCATCTATGCTGGCACTCTGATCTTGGAATTCCAGCCATCCAAACTGAGGAAATACATTTCTGCTGTTTAAGCCGTCAGTCAGTGGTCATGGTAGCCTGAGCTGACTAATATAAGTCCCTGCTCTTTGAGTCCAAGTATATCAAGTTCAATATGCAAAACTGAGCCATTGTGTTACAGGCAGGGGAATGGTTTCCATTGGGTGGGATGGGAGGGTTGGGAGGTAGAGAGTGAGTACTGAAAATTGGCCTGAGGCAGCTTCAGAATCTGGTCATGTCCTTTTCCCAATCTGAGTTTTGGGCACACGGATACATTTACTTTGTCAAAATGCGTCCGGTTGTGTGCTTAGGATTTGTGCTTTTTATTTTTTATTTTTTTAAAAGTATTATGCTTTCATTTCTGGGGTACATGTGCAGATTGTGCAGGTTGGTTACATTAGTATACGTGTGCTATGGTGGTGGTTTGCTGCATCCATTGCCCTCTCATCTACATTAGGTATTTCTCCTAATGCTATCCCTTCCCAATCCCCCCACACCTTGCTATTCCTCCCCTAACACCCAGGCCCCGGTGTATCTATGTTCCCCTCCCTGTGTCCGTGTGTTCTCATTTTTCAACACTCATTTATGAGCGAGAACATGCGGTGTTTGGTTTTCTGTTCTTGTGTCAGTTTGCTGAGAATGATGGTTTCCGGTTTCATCCATGTCCCCAGAAAGGACATGAACTCATCCTTTTTTATGGCTGCATAGTATTCCATGGTGTGCCACATTTTCTTTATCCAGTCTATCATTGATGGACATTTGGGTTGGTTCCAAGTCTTTGCTATTGTGAATAGTGCTGCAATAAACATATATGTGCAGGTGTCTTTATAATAGAATGCTTTGTAATCCTTTGGGTATATACCTAGTAATGGGATTGCTGTGTCAAATGGTATTTCTATTTCTAGACTCTTGAGGAATGGCCAGACTGTCTTCCACAATGGTTGAATTAATTTACACTCCCCAAAACAGTGTAAAAGCGTTCCTATTTCTCCACATCCTCTCCAGCTTCTGTCGTCTCCTTTTTTTAAAAATGATTGCCATTCTAACTGGCATGAGATGGTATCTCAATGTGATTTTGATTTGCATTTCTCTAATGACCAGTGATGATGAGCTTTCTTTCATATGTTTGTTGGCTGCATAAATATCTTCTTTTGAAAAGTGTCTGTTCATATCCTTTGCCCTCTTTTTGATGGGGTTGTTTTTCTCTTGTAAATTTGTTTCAGTTCTCTATAGATTCTGGATTTTAGCCCTTAGTCAGATGGGTTGATTGCAAAACTTTTTTCCCATTCTGTTGGGTGCTGGTTCACTCTATTGATAGTTTCTTTTGCTGTGCAGAAGCTCTTAAGTTTAATTAGATCCCATTTGTCTATTTTGGCTTTTGTTGCCAGTGCTTTTGGTGTTTTAGTCATGAAGTCCTTGCCCTTGCCTATGTCCTGAATAAAGTCTCTAGAAGATTGGGGCTTTTTAAATGATATGTGTTATAATTCAATACAATTTACAAAAAGAAAAATGATCTCATTCAAAAATTATGAGTAAAAATAAGTCTTGTGAACAATATCTTAGTTATTTCTATATTATTAGTATCTAGCCGAGTGCCTGAATTTAAACCAGATTGTGTGCTAAATGTAAAATTTGCTATAGCAACAACAATAAAATGAACAAGATAAAACTGTGTATGCTGTTGATATAGAAAGATATCTATATTGTATTTTGTGTTTTTCTTTAAAAAGGCTGAGCAATATTTAAAGCATGATTTCATTCATGATTTTTAAAAATTCTAAGTGTACACACACGTATAAGCAGATTTACATGTAAACTGACATATGGATATTGGAGGTGGGGTGACCATTAATTTTTAGCTTTTAGTCTTTTAAACCTTTGATTTTTTTTAAGGATTAGGATTTTTAAAAATAAATATAAAAAGTGATGGTGAAGGCAAATAAAAGAGGACAATGAAAAGAGGGTTTGGAGCAGATGATGTCTGAGGCCCCCACCTCTTGCTCTGAGGTCTGTGATTAACACTGACCTCCTTCATGTCCAGCCAGATGGATGGCCAGGTTTGAGCTGGATGACACTAAATCTCCTGTGATTCTTAATTTAGATCCAAAAAGGTGTTCATTCTTGTGGCTGTCATTTGGGTTTTTGCTTGTAGATTTTCTTTCTCCAAGTGAATGTGAGGCTGGCTCTGCAAGCCAGGTACAATGGCGGAGCCTCGGGCAATTTAGGTGGTGGGTCCCTAGGACAAGGAGGAGCCCAGTCTCCTCCCGGCTCCCAGGGAGATGGCCTGAGGGAAAGGGGGAGTCAATCACATGCTTATATTCATAACTAATAGCCTTGTAGAAAGTAACCTGAAGACACAGAGGAGAGAACAATTGTTTCTGGTCAGGGAAATCATGGAAGGCTTATTAGAGGAGGGGGCATCTGAGATGGTCCTTGAAGCATGAGTAGAAGCTTGACAGGCAGAAAATGGTAGGAGGAAAATGTTCCAAATAGGGGAAACTGTATGTATAACATTTGGCATAGGTATATCAGGGGAGAATATGTGAGGGTTAAGGCTGGAAAGGCTGCTTGGAGGCAGATTGAAGATTTGGACTTTATCCTAGGGTAATAAGGAGCCATCAAAGATTTGAAGCAGGAGACTTAATCTGATCTAAGTAGGGCAGGAAAAACGTCCACTCTTCCCCCTTTCTTTCCTCTCTCTCATCCTCCCTTCTTTGGAGGAGGACTTTGAACAGCAGGACAAAAAGACAGTCTGGGTAGACATGATAAGCATTGAGATTATACCATGGAAGGCAGCTGCTATTAGTGACACAAAGGTTTGCTTGCCTTATGCATGCCTTATTTGGAAAAATCTGGAGCTGGTAAAGCCATTTCTGTTATTGGCCCATAAGGCTGCTCCTGGTCACAGAGCAGCCGAGATTCTGGAAGTGAGGAGATTGTGGTACAGGTGCAGAGGGAGGAAGGAAGGTAGAGAAGGGACCAAGGAAGGCTCTGTGTGCTCATATCAGGGACTCAACAGGGAAAGGTGGGAGAGTTCTGTCACACTCTGGACCCTTGTGTGTAATCCTGATCATCTGACCGTTTGATTTTCCTTCTGGCGATGGACGGTTGACCTCCACCCCTTCCTGGTCATCACTGTGCATGTGGCACACACTGTAGAACAGCTCCCACTGGCTGGCAGTGTGGAGCAGGTGCAGAGGGGAGGCAGAGATCCCTGGATGGAGGGGTGGGTGAAAGCTTGCCTGAGGCTGTTGCCACAGAGATGGAGGGAGGAGAGATTGGCAGGAGGTCTGTGTATGTAGGGAGAGAAGAGATAACAGCTGAGGATAGTTAGAGGTTTCTTGTATGTGTGGCTGGGTGCGACGGTGAAGAGACAGAGGAGGGTAGGAGCTGGTATGGGGAAAATGAGAATTAGGCTGGAGCCATGGGAACACATCCATCCTTGCTGAGGGCTGTCTCTCCAGTTAACATTAGATAGGAGGCCTAACAGGGGATAGAGGAAAAAAATCATTTCTGCCACTTTGGGCTTCATGGGAGGCTCTGTAATGGGGGCTATGTCTAATGTTACTTACCTCTCTGGTGCTCATCAAGGTCTCTGCAAGGAATCAAAGCTCAATAACATGGGAAAAAAATACACAATTTCTCTCCTACTCCCAATTTTCTGTGTGACTCCAGGAGTCACTTCACCTCTGGAGACCTCAGGACAACATGCAAGGTGTATTTGTCATGCAAGTATTCCTGCGCTATAGTCTGCTACTAACTGCCATGTGAGCCTCGACAAGTCCCTTCCTTTCTCTTGGCCTCGGTTTCCCCATGTGCACAGTGAAGCAGTGGAACAAGAATTCTGACATTCCAACAAGTGTTCGCCATCAGTAATGACAGCTTCCCTCACCTGCCTCCCCATATGCCAAATTAGCAGAGATGCAGTGGACTGGATCCAGAAGCATTTATGAGAGACGCACCCTCTGCAAACACAAGGACTGGACGTTAGTGTTGCCCTGTGGCCTGGGAAGGCTGGTGATGCCTTGCAAAGCAAATTGAATTTGTGTTTGAAAATTTCAGTAACCAAATATACTGGCCTTTTAAAATTCCAAATTGGGTTTGTGGATAAATGGATCAGATTAGTAGGACGGAAGGGAGAAATGGAGGGACTGTGGAATGTGCATGCAATTGCTGGCAGGCAGCCTTCTGCCTTATGAGATTGGCATCTCTGCCTTTTGCTGGAAATGAGCCACTCTGTTCTCCTTGCCTGCCAGGAGCCATGAATTAAAACCTCTACCATTTTCTAGCTCAGTGAGGACAGCAGCTAGAACGATAGAAAATGGTTTTAGTTGGTTTAATCTGAAGCCCCTGGCTGGGCATCTGCACTGACCCACCAAAGAGCTCCATGGGAAATGTCTTTCAGAGTCAAAGGCCATGAATGGAGCAGGAGCTGTCACCGGGTAGTTTTTTAGCCCCACGGGGTTGGAGCTTCCTGTGGTCCCAGCTTCCAGGGAAGCATCCTTCATTAAGCCTTTGAGCCACAGGGTCAAATTGAACTCCCGCCTGCTGTTCCTGTATTGTGGCACTCTGAGACTGGATCCCTGTTTTTAAAGAAGTAAATGTCTAGAAACATGGTCAAACTGGTATTTAAAAATTACTAGTGATCTTTTTTTTCTGTCAGTTTCCTCACAGGTGGAACAAAGCTTATCTTTGGAGAAAACTGTTTAGAAATCTAGAACAATGGGAAGATAAAGTCCCTGCATAATAATATAAAATGTATTTTTGTTCATTCATTCATTCACTAATTCATCACATATTTATAGAGCATCTGTTATTTTCCAGGCCCTGTTCATGGTGCTACAAATATAGCAGGCAACCAAACAGACAAAAATAGGCTTTTTGGGGGTTTTATTTTGGTAGCCTACATCCAGATTATGACAGGTATTGAACAAAATACATAGTAAGAGAGTTAATGTTTTGGAAAGAAGTAAGTGCCGTGAAGGAAAACAAAAGCAGGAAAGAGGATTTGGGACTGGAGATTTGGTGGTGGCGGCAGGGTGTTCGATTTGAAACAGGGGCCAGGGACAGCCTCCCTGGGACACTGGCATTTGAGCAAAGGCCTGAAGGTGGTGAGGGAATGGGTTGTGTGAAGATCTGGAGAGGAATTCCAGGTCGCCAGCACAGCCAGTGCAAAGGCCCTGAGGTGGGAATGTGCTTGGTGTCACCCAGCAACGATAAGGAGGCTGGTGGGGCTGGAGGAAAGAGTAGAAGGGATGCAGGCAGAGGCCATATTGACAGGGAGGTCGCAGGGTATCCCTCACAGAACATAGCAAGGACTTGGCTTTCAGTCCAAGTGATTTTGCAGCCAGGGAGAGTGTTGAGCAGGGGAGGTCTGTCTCCTGACTTACAGATGTAAAGGCATCAGTCTGAGTTCTGAGTTGAGCATGGGCTCTGTCAGGGCGAGGGCAGCAGCTAGGAGATCATGAGGAGGTGACTGCAGCAATCCAGGGGAGGGGGGCTGGGAGCTCAGGCACGAGTGGGAGCAAGGGGGCAGACTGGGAGGGGACCCAGGCAGATACGACTTGCTGACATCGGATCAGGGTATGAGGAAAAGGGGGCGTGAAAGCGGGTGGAGACCAGGGGTTCAGTGCTGAACACAAAGAGAGAGCTCGAAGTGTCTGTTAGACAACCGAGGGGTGCTGTCCTGGCCAAAGAGAGGAGTCAGTGGTTCAGAGGAGAGGTCCAGGCAGAAATTGGGAATGGTCAGCGTGTGGATGGCTGTCACACCGAAGGAGGTCACTGAGTGAGTGAGCACGGATGGACGCGCACACAATGAGTCCAGGCACCCTGATACTTAGAGATCGGGAGAGGAGCCACCATCCCGCCTCACCCACCCCTGGGAACTCCTCAACTGCAGGAGCCTTGGGGCCCTGGATGTGGTGAAAGTTCCTGTTGCAGGCAGCGTTCTTGGGAAGAAGACGACTCTGAGGAGGAGGAGCTCTATGTGTGGGAAGTCAACTGGGAGTGTTCTTGGGATCCAGTCCTGCGAGGAAGCCAAGGCAGCAGGATTTCGGAGAGGGAGGAATTGAGTCCACTGCAGTCAGGACAAAGGCCTCGCCCTTTGTTGGAGGGCTGGGGCTCAGGAGCAGGACAGCCCTTCAGAGATACCCTGAATGAAGCCCCAGGGAGAGTCAGGGAAGGGCTTGGCCAGGGCTGGAGATGAGGTTCTCATCCTGAGGGGACCTGGGAGGGCAGCCCAGCACTCACTAAAGCACCCAGGGGAAGGCGACCAGGCCTTCATTAGATGCTGGGGGCAGGCCAGAGGCTCTTATGAAAGTCGATGAGTTGGGTTCCTGGAGCATTAGGATGGGTAGAATCCCAGAGTTGCGATGTATCCAGGGCCAAGGTTAAGTTTTGTGTTGTGTTTCATCATCTCCCCAGCTGCATTTTGGGAGGCTTCTAAGAGGGACCTCAGCTACATTAAGAGGATGAGGGAAGGGGTGCCGGGACCTGGAGGAGGTGACAGAGGGAAGCCCAGGGCAGCAGACCAGAGTCACAGAAGGGAGTAGTGCTTTGGTGAGCGCTCCTTGGAAGCTTCTGGAAAGACTTTGGGATGGGGGGCACTGGCTAAAGTGTGGCTTTGCTGTTCTGGAGGAAGCGAAGGTTCAGGCTTGGATATGAAAGGGAAAGGTGGAGGGTGACCTTCCTGAAGGCCGGCGGCTTGCAGGCATGGCAGTTTCACAGCTTCCATCCATTGCTTTCTGTTCAGCTGATTAAGTAGCCAGACTAACACAGGCCAAGCCACTAGGTAGCTAGTCAGTGAGAACCATGCCACGCTCCTTTCCCCAGCTTCTTACAGTGACACGTAACAATGCACAAAATTGTGCATCAGGGCCCTGGTGCCAACTTGCTCTCATTTTGGCTCTGCCACACCAGAGCTTTGTGACCTTGGGTAAGTCAACCTCTCTAAGCCCTTGTTTTCTCATCTATAAGGAGAACAGTGTCTATCTTATGGAGCTGTTGTGAAGATTTAGGTGAGAAAGCACCTGTGAAAGCATCTCCTTCTGTGGTATTTGGGGAGGCATCAGAAGATCTCAGTCCCTTTTTTCTGTCTGTGCAGTCAGAAATCTATGTCTTGGGCCTGGAGGGATGTGCCAGTTTCCCTGGCTCCTAAAGAGAGGAGGGTGCTTGGGCACAGTGTTCTGAGAACCTCTTACTTGGACAAGTTTCTTATTTGTGTCAAGCCCATTCTCTTCCACTCCATCCTCAATTCCTGCCATGGGCACCACTGGTCTCCATCCACCCAGCCTGCAGATAAGCCAACAACAATGTTATCGTGGCTGCCAGGCCCTTTGGGGCAGAACTCCTTTGTTGGCAGTTTTGGCTCCTGTGGGGATTCTGGGTGGCTCTGGGTTTGGTGGGACTGAGAGGGCCTGGGGCAGAGCCTGCCTCCCGGTAGATGGGCAGGGAGCATTCACTGGATGAATGAGAGTGAGGGCTCTGTAGATGATGGTGTGAGACCTCCATCCAGCAGGAGCTGAGCAGTAGCCAGCTCCTCTGAGACAAAAAGGAATAACCAGATCAGGTACTGTTCAAGGTTCTGCCCCCTGGGAGTACCTCTCCTCACCGTGGTCCTTTAGGGATGTTCTGGAAAGGGGCTGCAGTGCTTCCAGGTCCATTTTAGGGCTTTGAACCCAGTCTACCCTGACTCTGAAGCCACAGGCTGTGATATTCTACTACTGCCTCCCCGCTTTGTTTAATCACCAAGATTCTGCTTCATTATTCTTCTGAAGGGCTCAGTCCAAAGCTAAGAAACTCTTCTCTCTAGAAAGTTTCTTTGTTCAGCTGAAAATGACCTCCTTTCCAGACCAGCTCTCTGCATGCCTGCTCACGGAGAGGACAGGCGTCCTGAGATTCTGTTCTGCCACTGCCTTCCCACACGACCCTTTAAATACTTGAGGACAATTGTTAAGCTTTGCTTCTGGGCTTTCCCTCACCATCATGTTCAATTGCAGTACAGCCATGTGGTTCCTCGATTCCCTTCTAAGGCTCTGCCCTACCCTAATCCTTCCTGCAGCGATGACATATCCCAAGACAGACACCAGCCTGTGAGATTACATAGACTTTCTTCCTTTTTTTTTTTTTTTTTTTTTTTTTTTACTGCATTTTAGGTTTTGGTGTACATGTGAAGAACATGCAAGGTTGTTGCATAGGTACACACATGGCAGTGTGACTTGCTGCCTT